GGTCCCTTAATAAAAAAGGAGGCTTCCAGATTCTGATAAGTTCCATTCCTGTAGACCCCCCTATCACCTGGGATTGTGGAGAAACAAGCTCTTGTCCTCATTAACACTTGGGCAAGGGGCTCTTCTGGGGGGTCCCTTGCCTGAAGGTCCCAGTGGAAGGAGACTAGAAGGGGGATGAAAATTGCTGGACTGTGTGCTACTTTCTGGACAGTGGGACTGCTGGAACTTGCAGTTCCTTATTGGCTGTATCTACTGCCCTGTAGACTACTTCACCCTGAGGTTCCACAGTGCCAATCCATGCGCTACTTCTCCTTACCATGCACCTACTCCTCTCATAACGGCTGTCTGTGTGGTCCTGAAGCTGTGGCCAGGACATACTGCTCTGCAATTGGCCTGGGAAGGACCTGTGCCCTCTGTACTCTGGACCTCCTTTCCCTGGACACCCTATCTGGACCCCTTTGGCTGAGGCTGCCGTTGGCTGGTGAGTCATCTAAACTCTTACAGTGCCAGGATCTCTGCCCTCTGTGCCGGGTAAACTTGCTGCGCCAGGATCTCTGCCTCTGTGCCGGACTTAAACTCTTGCTGTGCCAGGATCTCTGCCCTCTGTGCTGGACTGTACCTGGTCTGTATCCTAGCCTGCTGTGCTGGATCCCTGTCCTCTGTGCCGGACTTAAACTCTTGCAGTGCCAGGATCTCTGTATCACGTACCTGGTGATGGAGGCCAATGGAGAGAGGGCTTCCCTTGCGGCTAAGTTCCGGACTTCCCTGAGAGTGGGACAGCGGGAGTCAGGCCCAAAGTTGCACAGGTCGCCTGTAGGAGTGCTGGTTGGTGGTCCACTCAGAAGCACAGCTGGTGCAGGGAGATAGGTTTGCAGACAGGAGGCGCCTGTGCGTGGTATGCAAGCCCTTCAGGGATTTAGATGTTTACTGGGTAGTCGGTTCAAGCCAAGGTCAGGTACCAGGTGGGAATCAGAGCAGACGTAGTCAGATGGGATAGCCGAGGTCATACACAGAGGAGCGAGAGAGAGAATATCCGTAAGCCAAGCCGAAGGTCAGATCAGAGTAAAGCAGAGTAGACAGGTCCAGCAGCAATCCGAGTTGGTAACAGGAAATCACAAGTCAGAGTCACAGGAAACAGGAACAGGGCACGGGGAACTAGAGATCATCCAGCAACTTAAGGAAGTTATGAGCCTCCTTATAAAGGCCGTCTGGCACCAAACTGAGGCTGATGTGTGCTTCTGCGGCCATGCAGAGTACTGGCAGAAATGCCAGACCTTCCAGAACTTCTGCCGTGCACAGGACCCTGATAGTGCCCCCCCCCTAAAAAGCAGCCTCCGGATGCCCACCTGGGCTATCGTTTCAGGATACTTGGAATGAAAATCTTGGAGAAGCCTGGGGGCATGTATATTGCCTTTTGGTTCCCAGGAACTTTCTTCAGGTAGGTACCTCTTTCATCTGACCAGGTACTGGATTTGTCTTCCTCGCCTTCTGCAGTCCAGAATTGCTTCAACCTCGTATTCCGTCTCCTCCCTAACTGTTATCGGCAGAGGAGGTGGTTCTATTCTCCCTGGAAAAGGATCAGGAACAGCTGGCTTAAGTAGGGAGACATGGAGATCTGGGTGGATCTTGTATGATTCTGGAAGGAACAGCTCAAACGCCACTGGATTGATTTCCCTCTTGATCCGGAAAGGGCCAATGTACCTTGGACCCAACTTACGTGACGAGCACAGGAGTTTTAGATTGGCAGTTGATAGCCAAACTTTGTCTCCAATCTTCAGAGGAGGGTTTCCTCTCCATTTCCTGTCGTAGTGTTTCTTATAATCAGCCTGGGATTTCAGTATAGACTCTCGGAGAACTTTAGCATGGAGAGTCTGTCCTGCACTGCTGGTACCAAAGCTTCAGGAATGGTGTCAGGTATGGAGGAAGGGTGGAATAGATAATTGGCCCAAAATGGTGACTGGTTTGTAGCAGAATGGACTGAGTTGTAGGCAAATTCTGCCAATAGGAGTAGAGATGCCCAATCATCCTGAGAAAAAGCAGAAAAGCACCGTAAATATTGCTCCAACGTCTGGTTTGTTCGCTCCATTGCCCGTTACTCTGGAGATGGTAGGCGGACGATAAGCAGAGTTTCACCTTCAGGGCCTTGCAGAGGGCTCTCCAGAACCTGGACGTAAACTGCATCCCTCAGTCTGAGACGATATTACTGGGCAGACCATGTAACCTGACAATCTCTTTGATGAAGGTTAGTATAGTCTCTGGTGCGGATGGAGTACCCACCATTGGTAAAAAGTGGGCCATCTTGGATAGCCGATCCACTACTACCAGAATGGTAGTAAACCCCTCCGAGAAAACGTTCAGGAGTAGGAACTCTGGGTTCCGGAGGTGGTAACACAATAGCAGGAGTGGTGGCAGGACACTGACTGGCAGGTGCAGCTACTGGGTTGGAACTGGTGGAGGGATCCTGGTCAGCAGAAGTAGAGAGGGAGTGAAGACGCCCTTCTAGCTGGAAATATCCTTACTGTAGATCCTTCACTGCTTGGGTAAGTGCCGTCATCTGTTGGCACAGGGTCTCTAGTGCGGAAGCACCTCGGCCTTGGACATACTGGCTGGATGATACTATCACGTACCTGGTGATGGAGGCCAATGGAGAGAGGGCTTCCCTTGCGGCTAAGTTCCGGACTCCCCTAAGAGTGGGACAGCAGGAGTCAGGCCCAAAGTTGCACAGGTCACCTGTAGGAGTGCTGGTTGGTGGTCCACTCAGAAGCACAGCTGGTGCACGGAGATAGGTCTGCAGACAGGAGGCGCCTGTACGTCGTATGCAAGCCCTTTCCGGGATTTAGATGTTTACTGGGTAGTCGGTTCAAGCCAAGGTCAGGTACCAGGTGGGAATCAGAGCAGACATAGTCAGGAGGGATAGCCGAGGTCATACACAGAGGAGCGAGAGAGAGAGTATCCGTAAGCCAAGCCGAGGTCAGATCAGGAGTAAAGCAGAGTAGACAGGTCCAGGAGCAAGCAGAGTCGGTAACAGGAAATCACAGGTCAAAAACAGGAAACAGGGCACAGGGAGATAGAGATCATCCAGCAACTTGAGGAAGTGATGAGCCTCCTTATAAAGGCCGTCTGGCACCAAACTGAGGCTGATGTGTGCTTCTGCGGCCATGCAGAGTACTGGCAGAAATGCCAGATCTTCCAGAACTTCTGCCATGGACAGGACCCTGACACTCTGCCCTCTGTGCCGGATTTAAACTCTTGCAGTGCCAGGACCTCTGCCCCGTGTGCCGGAATGTACCTGGTCCGTAGCCTAGCCTGCTGTGCTGGATCCCTGCCCTCTGTGCTGGACTTAAACTCTTGCAGTGCCAGGATCTCTGCCCTCTGTGGTGGTCTTACTGTGAAACGATCTCTGCCCTCTGTGCTGGTCTTGCTGTGCCAGGATCTCTGCCTCCTGTGCTGGACTGTACCTGGTCCGTATCCTAGCCTGCAATGCTGGATCCTTGCCCTCTATACTGGACCTAAACGGTTGCTGTGCCAGGATCCCTGCCCCGTGTACTGGACTGTACCTGGTCTGTATCCTAGCCTACTGTGCTGGATCCCTGCCCTCTGTGCCGGACTTAACTCTTGCAGTGCCAGGATCCCTGCCCTCTGTGCCGGACTTAAACTCTTGCTGTGTCAGGATCTCTGCCCCATGTGCTGGACTGTACCTGGTCCATATCCTAGCCTGCTGTGCTTGATCTCTTCCCTCTGTGCCAATCTTAAACTCTTGCTGTGCCAGGATCTCTGCCCCATGTACTGGACTGTACCTGGTCCATATCCTAGCCTGCTGTGCTGGATCTCTGCACTCTGTGCCAAACTTAAACTCTTGCTGTGCCAGGACCTCTGCCCTCTGTGCTGGACTGTACCTGGTCTGTATCCCAGCCTGCTGTGCCAGGATCTCTGCCCTCTGTGCCGGACTTAAACTCTTGCAGTGCCAGGATCTCTGCCCCTTTGTGCTGGTCTTGCAGTGCCAGGATCTCTGCCCCATGTGGTGGACTGTACCTGGTCCGTATCTAGCCTGCTGTGCTGGATCCCTGCCCCGTGTACTGGACTGTACCCCCCGTTTTGTCATACCGCGCTGTACTATATTACCGTCCCTGTGTCCCTGGGCTTAGCCTTTGCTGTACCAGATTGTGGCCTGCTACCCACTGAGCATGGATTGTTGCCCTCTGACTCTGGACTAAGTCCCTGCTGTACTAGATTGCTGCTCTGTGCCTCTGGACTTATCCTTTGATGTACCCTATTGCCCCTCCAGTGTTAGACTTATTGCCCCATGGCCTTCCCCTTATCTGACTCCCCAAGTCAAACTTCCTATCTGTAAATAAGTGTTCCCTGACATTTAAGGGTCTCTTCATACAAAAAAAATGTACAGACTTCTGTTTGTAAAATCTCCCACCACAAAATGAACTCTGCCAATGACAGGTGAGGACGCCATTTTTATTCTTCTCCTGCCATCAATGGCCAACCCGGTCCCACACTTCATCCACGTCTTTGGTGACCTCTGATCTCCTTATGAACTGTTTCTTCCATGATGAAGATCAGCCATGGAGTATATCTGAGGGTGTATATCAGGGTGTGCTTCTTCCCCACATGAGAGCTGAGATGTCCAGCAACATTCATCTAGAAGACATTTCCCACACTCAAGGCACTAATACACCTCCAGGGTTGTGTGGGACCCATGCTGTACAGGAAGACAGGACTTCAGTGAGTAACATTTCCCTCAGTCAGACCAGGAAAGTTCGTTCTCCTCCGTGTCCAATCTCAGATGACTGTAAGCAGAGGACTTCTGGGGGTTACACTTCCAACTATCAGAACGGGGAAGTGGATCTGCCTCCGTGTGCAATCTCACATGTGCGTCAAGATCGGACTTAGTTTGAAAACATTTCCCACACTCAGGACAGGAATACAGTTTCTGCTGTGTGTGTGATCTCTGATGTTTGTAAAGATGTGGCTTCTGTGAAAAACATTTCCCGCACTCAGGACAGGAATACGGCTTTTCCCCCGTGTGAGATCTCTGATGTACAACAAAATGTGATTTTATTGAAAAACATTTCCCGCACTCAGGACAGGAATATGGCTTTTCCCCTGTGTGAGTCCTCTTATGTATGCAAAGATTGGACTTTTGTGAAAAATGTTTCCCGCACTCGGGACAAGAATACAGCTTCTCACCAGTGTGAGATCGTTTATGCTCATTAAGACTGGATTTATAACGGAAGCATTTCCCGCACTCAGGACATGAGTAAGGCTTTTCTCCCATGTGAGATCTTTGATGTGTAATAAGAAGTGATTTCTGTACAAAACATTTTCCGCACTCAATACATAAATAAGGCTTCTCTCCCGTATGAAATCTCTGATGTATTGAAAGAGTGCACTTCCTTGAAAAACATTTCCCACACTCAGAACAGGAATATTTCTTCTCTCCCGTGTGAGTTCTCTGATGTACTGAAAGATGAGACTTCTGTGAAAAACATTTCCCACAATCAGAACAGGAATACGGCTTCTCCCTGTGTGAGATCTTTTATGCAAAGTAAGATAATATTTGCAACGGAAACCCTTCCACACTCAGGACAAGAGAAGCTCTTCCCTGTTGGAAGGCCGGCCCGGTCCCGCACAGTCTGAGGTTCCTCAGGATATGAGGAATCCGATGGTCCATCTACACTGGGTGGTGCCCAATGGACATTGGAGGGAGCCGGGTTTTCTCCTGGACTATACTGTGTGATGTCCTCATCTTCTACTTTCCAGTCTGGAGACAAAGTGAGACAATCCTCGGAGGTTTTCCTCATCTCCCGGCCATGGACTAAAATACAAAGAGGATTACTAGACAGGAGCTGATTGGTTCCCCCAAGCCAGGACTCCACCCACATCAGGCAGCTTGGTCTCTGAGGAGCTTACAAGTTGAATGGCTCCTCCTGAGCTCCAGGCTCTTGTCAGACAGAGAGAGATCCAATGAGAACTTTATCATCTGGACCAATCAGTGAGCAGTATGGGGGGAGGAATGGATTTAGTGTTCATGACCCACCTGTGCTGATCTCTGTAGGAGTGTCCTCCTCTATAAATGTCCCCGTTATTCCATCCTCCTCCATAGACTGCTGATCATCCCTCACATACGCCTCTTCTTCTGATTTCACCTCAAATTCTATATCGATTGGATCTCCACTCTACATCAAGAGAAGGAGAGAAAATATCATCTGTAAGATAGAAGATTTATTATTGTGACATCACATAGAAAATCCGCACATCGTCTCCATGAGTCCATGTTCTAGATTCTCCATCCCACCAACCTTGTAATAGTGAGGGATGTGTGACCTTCCTGTGTGGAATCCCGGGAATACAAAGGACGGATACATTTCTCTGGGGGGGTTCCCATGACTGGATCTATCTACCTCCTGATGATGGTGAGGGGGTGTGACCTTCCTGTGTGGAATCCCGGGAATACAGAGGATGGGGACATCTCTCTGATGGCTTCCCATGACTGGATCCATCTACCAGATGATGGTGAGGGATGATGTGACCTTCCTGTGTGGAATCCGGGGAATACAGAAGACGGGGACATCTCTCTGGGGGGTTCCTGTAGCTGGATGACTCCTCCATGGTGTCCTGGTACAGATCTTTGGGAAGCTCTGACTCCTCCATCACCCCATCCTCCTCCTCCTCCTCTTTTATTTTTCTTTAACCCCAACTGCAGAATCTCTCAGGTTTCCACTCTGAATATATAATAAAATGACATCAATGGTAACAATGCAGATAATGTACAGATCTAATGATACTATCAGTGACTGTTCCTCATCTACCTGATGATGGTGAGGGATGGTGTGACCTTCCTGTGTGGAATCCTGGGAATACAGAGGACGGGAACATCTCTCTGGTGGGTTTCTGGTATTAGGTGGCTCCATCATATTCTTGTTTCCTTTTGAAAACTCCTCCATCACTCCATACTCCTCATCCTCCTCTATATACTCTTCTTTAACATCAATATTATCATCCCCGAGGATTCCACTCTGTTATATAATGAAAAACATTATTGTAACAAACATGCCGTGTATAAATCACAACTACCAAGAATTGTCAACCACCTACCTGATGATGGTGAGGGATGGTGTGACCTTCCTGTGTGGAATCCCAGGAATACAGAGGACGGGGACATCTCTCTGGTGGGTTCCCATGACTGGATCCATCTACCTGATGATGGTGAGGGATGGTGTGACCTTCCTGTGTGGAATCCTGTGAATACAGAGGACGGGGACATCTCTCTGGTGGGTTCCCATGACTGGATCCATCTGTAGGAAACACACTGACTGAATCCATTGTTTCTATGTGTTTATCAGATGATGGGGGATCTAGGTGGAGCCTCCGTACTGCTCTCTCCTTTCCAATAAAGTCTCCTCTTACCCGGTGATGTGAGGGGCGGCTGATTGTCCATCATGACTTCCTTGTAGAGGTCCTTGTGTCCTTCTAAATACTCCCACTCCTCCATTGACTGGAATGGCCGGTACTTATTCTTCAGATGTGTCGATTTCCACCAATCACCTTTTTAGCCTTTCCTAATGTATCATATAACTTCTATTAGGTGCGGGGGATGGATGGGGGGTTCATGCAGATTTGGATATATTTGTCTTTATTTTACGAACTTAGATACGATAAAAAAAATCTATTCCTCTATTTTATATATGTGTGTATCATCATCTGCCTGAAATAAAAGACAATACAGTTACTATGAAGGAAGATGATGGACATAACGGGGGATTACTGGGTGTAGATAGAAAATAGGATTTTATTACCTCCTCTGCTGCCACTTCCAGCAATGTCTCCACTCTACTTCCTCCCGACTAACCTTTCACCCGGAACTTCCTACTTATACCTGACATCACTTCCTGTCTTCCATAGAGACTTCCTGTCAAGTGAGATCCCCACCTTGTGGAGCTCATAGGAACTGCAGCCCCGAGAACCGTCTGGTAGTGTGACCCCGGCCTTGTGCTGGGTGTGTATGGACTGTATGTCCTCATAGAGGGGTCACCTCCACTCCTACCAAGGGGGACAGAAATACACTACATTGCCCCAAGTATTGGTCCGCCAGCCTTCCCACGCACATGACCTTTAATGGCCCCCCGTCTTAGTCCGTAGGGTTCAATATGGAGTTGGCCCCGCCCTTTCCCCATACATGACCTTTAATGGCCCCCCAGTCTTAGTCCGTAGGGTTCAATATTGGTTAGGCCCCGCCCTTTGCATCTATAACAGCTTCAACTCTTCTGGGAAGGCCGTCCACAAGGTTTAGGAGGGTGTCTATGGGAAGGTTGGACCATTCTTCCAGAACCACATTTGTCAGGTCAGGCATTGATGTCGGTGGAGGAGGCCTGGCTCACAGTCTCTGCTCTAATTCATCCCAAAGGTGTTCTATGGGGTTGAGGTCAGGACTCTGTGCAGGCCAGTCAGGTTCCTCCACCCCAGGCTCCTCCATGTCTTTATGGACCTTGCTTTGTGCACTGGTGGGCAGTCATGTTGGAACAGGAAGGGGCCATCCCTAAACTCTTCCCACAAAGTTGGGGGCATGAAATTGTCCAAAATGTCGCCTTAAAAGTTCCCTTCACTGGAACTAGGGGGCCAAGCCCAACCCCTGAGGAACACCCCCATACCATAATCCCCCCTCCACCAAACTTTACACTTGGCACAATGCAGTCAGTCAAGTACCGTTCTTCTGGCCACTGCCAAACCCAAACATGTCCAAAAGGTCTAAAGATTTTTTGGGTTTCCTTCAGAAAGAATCCAGAAGAGAGGAGCACGAATAGTTCAACACCGCTTTATCAACAACTTTAAAAACACCAATTGGACGCTTACAGAACACCAAAGTATACAGTGAAAGAAATGCGTATTTGCTCCCCAGCTGATTTTGAATGTTTGCCCACTCACAAAGAAATGATTGGTCTAAAAATCATTCGCAAATGGAAGAAACACAAAACAAGTGTCAGTCTCCCTAGGTCTGGTGCACCATGCAAGATCTCACCTCGTGGAGTGTCAATGATCATGAGAACAGTGAGGAATCATCCCAGAACTACACGTGAGGATCTTGTCAATGATCTCCAGGCAACTTGGTGACCACAGTCACCAAGAAAACAATTGGTAACACGCTACGCCGACAAGGACTGAAATCCTGCAGTGCCCGCAAGGTCCCTCTGCTCAAGAAAGCACATGTCCAGGCCCGTCTGAAGTTTGCCACTGAACATCTGAATGATGCAGAGGAGGACTGGTTGGAAAGTGTTGTGGTCTGATGAGACCAAAATCCAGCTCTTTGGCAAAAACTCAACTTGCTGTGTTTGGAAGAGGAGGAATGCTGCCTATGACCCCAAGAACACCATCCCAACTGTCAAACATGGTGGTGGAAACATTCTGCTTTGGGGGTGTTTTTCTGCTAAGGGACAGGACAACTGCACCGCATCAAAGGGACGATGGACGGGGCAATGTACCATCAAATCTTGGGTGAGAACCTTCTTCCCTCTGAGCCAGGGCATTGAAAATGCATCGTGGATGGGTGTTCCAGCATGACAATGACCCAAAACACAGGCCAAGGCAACAAAGGAGTGGCTCAAGAAGAAGCCCATAAGGTCCTGGAGTGGCCTAGCCAATCTCCAGACCTTAATCCGATTGAAAATCAGTGGAGGGAGCTGAAAGTTCGAGTTGCCAAACGTCAGGTACCGAAAACCTTAATGACTTGGAGAGGATCTGCCAAGAGGAGTGGGCCAAAATCCCTCCTGAGATGTGTGCAAACCTGGGGGCCAACTCCAGGAAACATCTGACCTCTGTGATTGCCAACAAGGGATTTGACACCAAGTACTAAGTCATGTTTTGTGAAGGGGATCAAATCCTTATTTCCCTCATGAACATGCAGATCAGTCATCATTCGTTAGATATGCATTTCTGCTGAATTTGTTGTTGCTATTCTGTCTCTCAGTGTTACAATACACCGAACATTCGATTTTTAGACCGATCATTTCTTTGTGAGTGTGCGAACATTCAACATCAGCAGGGGAGCAAATACGCATTTCCTTCACTGTATTAAGGCTGTCAATGTTTATTTGAAGATGTCTGCAGCACTCAGATTCATCATTCATTCTACTTGAGGGCCCTAGGAAGGGTCGGGCAGCTTCAAAGTCGACCATTGGACAGTAGACCTTTCATCCTTTTACATAATCCTGTGGCTTGAAGGGCGAGGCTGACCCTACTAATCCTGTTGGGGTATGGCTGCCACCTTTTCTTTAAGCCAAACCCGAGCATTTCAGAGGCGAAAGGCAATTATTTTCCATTGTATACACCATACATATATTTTGGGATTTAATAACATTTCTAATCACATGGAGTTAATCACAAGATCCTCCCCCCCTTACATCAGAGTCCACAGAGCTCCCCCTTTACATTTGAATCCACAGAGTTCTCCCTTTGAATGCACGGAGGCCCGTTATAATCTGAATCTGCAGCATTCTCCTTTAGATCTGAATCTACATACTGTAGTTCCTTTACACTGTCCACAGAGCTCCCTCTTATAGTGTAACTTGAAATTCTGCAGACTCAGATGTAAAAGGGGATCCCTGCAGACTCAGATGTAAGGGGGGAACAATGCAGACTGATATAAGGAGAAACCTGGGGACTCTGATTTAAGGGGAAACCCTGCAGACTCAGATGTAAGCGGAAACCCTGCAGACTCAGATGTAAAGGGGATCCCTGCAGACTCAGATGTAAGGGGGGAACAATGCAGACTCTGATATAAGGAGAATCCTGGGGACTCTGATTTAAGGGGGAACACTGCAGACTCTGATGTGAGAGGAAACCCTGCAGACTCAGATGTAAAGGGGATCCCTGCAGACTCAGATGTAAAGGGGATCCCTGCAGACTCAGATTTAAAGGGGATTCCTGCAGACTCTGATATAAGGAGAAACCCTGGGGACTCTGATTTAAGGGGGACACTGCAGACTCTGATGTGAGAGGGAACCCTGCAGACTCAGATGTAAAGGGGATCCCTGCAGACTCAGATGTAAAGGGGATCCCTGCAGACTCAGATGTAAAGGGGGAACCCTGCAGACACAGATGTAAAGGGGATCCCTGCAGACTCAGATATAAGGGGGAACAATGCAGACTCTGATCTAAGAACTCTGGGGACTCTGATGTGAGAGGGAACCCTTCAGACTCAAATGTAAAGGGGATCCCTGCAGACTCAGATGTAAGGGGGAACAATGCAGACTCTGATGTAAAAGGGAAATTTGATATAAGAGGTATCTGGTAACAAGAGCACCCACTTATATCAGAGTTCCCAGAATTTCCCTTTAATCGGGGTTCCCAGAGTCCCCCTTACTTCTGGGTTTGCAGATTTATGGAACCCTGCAGACTCAGATGTAAAGGGAATCCCTGCAGACTCAGATGTAAGGGGGAAAAATGCAGATTTTGATTTAAGAACTCTGGGGACTCTGCTTTAAGGGGGAACACTGCAGACTCTGATGTGAGACGGAACCCTGCAGACTCAGATGTAAAGGGGATCCCTGCAGACTCAGATGTAATTCCCCTTTAATCAGGGTTCCCAGAGTCCCCCTTACTTCTGGGTTTGCAGATTTACCCCTTACATCTGAGTCTGCAGGATTCACCCTTACATCCGACTCCGCAGGGTTCCATGTTACATCTGAGTCCGCAGGGTTCCCCCTTACATCTGAGAGTCTGCAGGGTTCCATCTTACATTTGAATCTGCAGAATTTCCACTTACACTGTAAGGGGGAGCTCTGTGGATTTTAATGTAAAGGGAAACTCTGATGTAAGGGGTGGTCTGGGAACCCTGAATTTAAGGGGGGGGGCTCTTATGAGAGAAGGAATTCTGTGAACTGTGTTGTAAAAGGGAACTGTGATGTAAGGGGGTCTCTGCTCACCAAAGTACCCCTTACATCTGAGTCCCTTCCATTGAGTCTCACACTCCCTCAGAGGCAGGAGAAGGGGGGGGGGAAGGGGGGATTTTAGTCACATGCAGGGGATGGATGGTGAGCTCATGCACCTGAGGAAGGCTCAGGCATCGGCATCATTCTTGCAGCCACAGTACAGGTGCCAGCTACTGGGCTGTAAATTTCCCACCCACTCATCCCCTTTCTGAGGAACAGCACTGCTGGGGATTGGAGTGTGGGTGGGCAGACACAGGAGGAGAGGTGCAGGAGGAAGAGGTGCAGGAGAAAGAGGTGCAGGAGCAGAGATACAAGAGGAAGAGGTACAGGAGGAGAGGTACAGGAGAAAGAGGTGCAGGAGGAGGTACAGGAGGAAGAGGTACATAAGAAAGAGGTGCAGGAGGAAGAGGTACAGGAGGAAGAGGTGCAGGAGCAGAGATACAAGAGGAAGAGGTACAGGAGGAGAGGTACAGGAGGAAGAGGTGCAGGAGGAAGAGGTGCAGGAGCAGAGATACAGGAGGAAGAGGTACAGGAGGAGAGGTACAGGAGAAAGAGGTGCAGGAGGAGGTACAGGAGGAAGAGAGGTGCAGGAGGAAGAGGTACAGGAGGAGAGGTACAAGAGGAAGAGGTGCAGGAGGAAGAGGTGCAGGTGATAACAATTCTGGCCGTATTTTAATTGACACAGCAATTTCCTATGATCGTCAGCTCCATCTAGTGGCCACTAGATTTTCCCACACTCAGGACAGGAATACGGCTCTACCCCCCCCCCCCCCCCCCGTGTGAGATCTTTTATGCTCATTAAGATGGGATACAGTGTGGAAATATTTCCCGCGCTCAGGACAGCAGACACACCACCATACGATGTTATGGCCATTGGGCGATGCCAACGATCACAGGAAATCAAAGCTCACATTTCTTGAACACATTTTCCACAAAGTGTCTGTGAAATCTCCCACCACAAAATGCACTCAGCCAATGACGGGTGAGGACGCCATTTTTATTCTTCTTCTGCCATCAATGGCCAACCGGATCCCACACTTAATCCACGTCTTTGGTGACCTCTGACCTCCTTATGAACTATTTCTTCCATGATGAAGATCAGCCATGGAGTATATCTGAGGTGTATATCAGGGGGTGCTTCTTCCCCACATGAGAGCTGGGATGTCCAGCAACATTCATCTAGAAGACATTTCTGCACTCAAGGCACTAATACACCTCCAGGGTTGTGTGGGACCCCAGGAAGACAGGACTTCAGTGAGGAACATTTCCCTCACTCAGGACAGGAATGTGGCTTCTCCCCCGTGTGAGATCTCTGATGTTTGGAAAAGATGGGACTTCAGTGAAAAACATTTCCCGCACTCAGGACAGGAAGGTGGCTTCTCCCCCTTGTGCGATCTCTAAAGTTTGGAAATACTCAACTTCACTCAAAAACATTTCCCACGCTCAGGACTTCAATGAGGAACATTTCTGTCAGTCAGACCAGGAAAGTTCGTTGTCCTTCGTGTCCAATCTCAGATGACTGTAAACAGAGGACTTCTGGGGGTTACACTTCCGCCAATCAGAACAGGAAAGCGGATCTGCCTCCGTTTTCAGTTTCACATGTGTGTTAAGTTCGAACTTAGATTGAAAAGATTTATCACATTTAGGACAGGAATACGGCTTCTTCCCCGTGTGCAATCTCTGATGATGATGCGAAAAACATTTCGGACAGGAAGACGGCTTTTCCCCCGCCCTCTGATGCGAAAAAATTTTTAGTGAAAAACTTTTCCCGCACTCAGGACAGGAATACGGCTTTTCCCCCGTGTGAGATCTCTGATGCATGGAAAGATTGGACTTCTGTGAAAAACTTTTCCCGCACTCAGAACAACAATACGGCTTCTCACCTGTGTGAGTTCTTTTATGAGAATCAAGAGTGGTTTTCAAACTGAAACATTTCCCGCACTCAGGACAGGAATACGGCTTCTCCCCTGTGTGAGATCTTTTATGCTCATTAAGATGGGATACAGTGTGGAAACATTTCCCGCACTCAGGACAGGAATATGGCTTTCTCCCCCGTGTGCAATGTCTTATGAGTATCAAAAGAGGTTTTTTGTGTGAAAAACATTTCCCGCAATCAGGACAGCAATACGGCTTCTCCCCCGTGTGAGTCCTCTGATGTGAAACAAAACGTGTTTTTAGTAAAAAACATTTTCCGCACTCAGCACAAATAAAAGGCTTTTCTCCCGTGTGAAATCTCTGATGTGTGGAAAGATTGGACTTATGTGAAAAACATTTCCCACACTCAGGGCAGGAATACGGCCTTTCTCCCCCCGTGTGAGATCTCTTATGAAGATCGAAAATGGATTTAAAACGGAAACATTTCCCGCACTCAGGACAGAGAAGCTCTTCCCTGTTGGAAGGCCGGCCCGGTCCTGCACAGTCTGAGGTTCCTCAGGATACGAGGAATCCGATGGTCCATCTACACTGGGTGGTGCCGGATGGACATTGGAGGGAGCCGGGTTTTCTCCTGGACTATACTGTGTGATGTCCTCATCTTCTACTTTCCAGTCTGGAGACAAAGTGAGACAATCCTCTGAGGTTTTCCTCATCTCCCGGCCATGGACTAAAATACAAAGACAAAGAGGATTACTAGACAGGAGCTGATTGGTTCCTGCAAACCAGGATTCCGCCCACATCAGGCAGCTTGGTCTCTGAGGAGTTTACAATTCCACCCCAAAGGGAACTAGGAAATGGCTCCTCTGATCTCCTACCAGGTCATTTCTTTATTCATGGACCTTAGTCAGAGAGTGAGGAAACAACCAGAACTGTCTTTTATAGGAGGGACAGTGATGAGGGGGTTATAGGACGAGGGTCCCCACCCCCTCTATTACTCATCGCCATCTTCCCAACACAAGAAGTACTGCACTTCCTAATTTAGTCCATGATTTAGTCATGAAGAACAGCGAGGCTGAGCCCCACCAGAGGAGAGCGAGGATGGGGGGGGGAGGACAACTAGAGGTCAGATTATCCGAGAGGAATCCAGGAATACAGGACAGGGAACACAGCTCAGGAAAGTGATATCACCCCCCCCGCCCCCACCCTACTCTGGACCAATCAGTGAGCAGTATGGGTGGAGGAATGGATTTAGTGTTCATGACCCACCTGTGCTGATCTCTGTAGGAGTGTCCTCTATAAATGTCCCCGTTATTCCATCCTCCTCCATAGACTGCTGATCATCCCTCACATACGCTCTCTTCTGATTTCACTTCAAATTCTATATCGATTGGATCTCCACTCTACATCAAGAGAAAAGGAGAGAAAATATCATCTGTAAAAAGCTCATATAAAAATACACACATCATCTCTACAAGTCTATGTTCTAGATGCTCCATCCCACCAACCTTGTAACAGTGAGGGATGGTGTGACCTTCCTGCGTGGACTCCCGAGAATACAGAGGACGGGGACATCTCTCTGGTGGGTTGCTGGTATTAGGTGGCTCCATCATATCCATGTGTCCTTCTGAAAGTTCCTCCATCACTCCATACTCCTCATCCCTTTATACTCTTCTTTAACATCAATATTATCATCCCCAAAGATTCACTCTGAATATATAATAAAACATTCATTGTAATAAACATGCCGTGTATAAATCACAGCTACCAATAATTGTTCCTCATCTACCTGATGATGGTAAGGGATGGTGTGACCTTCCTGTGTGGAATCCTGGGAATACAGAGAACGGGGACATCTCTCTGGTGGGTTCCTGGTATTAGGTGGCTCTATCATATTCTTGTGTCCTTCTGAAAACTCCTCCATCAATCCATACTCCTCATCCTCCTCTTTATACTCTTCTTTAACATCAATATTATCTTCTCCAAGGATTCCACTCTGAATATATAATAAAAAATTCATTGTAACAAACATGCCGTGTATAAATCAGAACTACCAAGAATTGTCAACCACCTACCTGATGATGGTGAGGGAAGTTGTGACTTTCCTGTGTGGAATCCTGGGAATACAGAGGACGGGACATCTCTCTGGTGGGTTCCTGTAGCTGGATGACTCCACCATGGTGTCCTGGTACAGATCTTTGTGTTCTTTTGGAATCTCTGACTCCTCCATCACCCCATCCTCATCCTCCTCCTCTTTTATCTCTTCTTTAATATTGACCTGTGTGGAATCCTGGGAATCCAGAGGACATCTCTCTGGTGGGTTCCCATGACTGGATCCATCTACCTGATGATGGTGAGGGATGGTGTGACCTTCCTGTGTGGAATCCTGGAGAATACAGAGGACGGGGACATCTCTCTGGTGGGTTCCGATGACTGGATCCATCTACCTGATGATGATGATGAGGGATGGTGTGACCTTCCTGTGTGGAATCCCAGGAATACAGAGGACGGGGACATCTTCTGGTGGGTTCCCATGACTGGATCCATCTGTAGGAAACACACACACTGACTGAATCCATTGTTTCTATGTGTTTATCAGATGATGGGGGATCTAGGTGGATCCTCCGTACTGCTCTCTCCTTTCCAATAAAGTCTCCTCTTACCCGGTGATGTGAGGGGCGGCTGATTGTCCATCATGACTTCCTTGTAGAGGTCCTTGTGTCCTTCTAAATACTCCCACTCCTCCATGAACTGGAATGGCCGGTACGTGTTCTTCAGATGTGCTGCTTTTCCACCAATCACCTTTTTGCCTTTTTAGCATTTCCTAATGTATCATATAACTTCTATTAGGTGTGGGGGATGGGGGGTTCATGTAGATTTGGATACATTTGTCTTTATTTCGCAAACTTAGAATAGGATAAAAGAAACCTATTCCTCTATTTTATATATGTGTGTATCATCATCTGCTGGAGATAAAAGACGTCACAGTGACTATGGAGGAAGAGGACGGACGCGAAGAAGAGGACGGACGCGACGGTGGAGGGACGCGACGGTGGAGGAAGAGGGACGGGCGCGACGGTGGAGGAAGAGGACGGGCGCGACGGTGGAGGAAGAGGACGGACGCGACGGTGGAGGAAGAGACGGGCGCGACGGTGGAGGAAGAGGACGGACGCGACGGTGGGGGAAGAGGATGGACGCGACGGTGGGGGAAGAGGACGGACGAGGGGGAAGAGGACGGACGCGATGGTGGGGGAGAGGACGGACGCGAAGTGGGGGAGAGGACGGATGCGACGGTGGAGGGAGAGGACGGACGTGCGACGGTGGAGGAGAGGAGGACGCGACAGAGGGAGAGGGACATGTAGGGGGGTTACGGGCTGTAAACAGAAAATCAGATCTTATTACCTCCTCTGCTGCCACTTCCAGCAATGTTTCCTCTCTACTTCCTCCCGACTCACCTCTCACCCAGAACTTCCTGTATGTACCTGACATCACTTCCTGTCTTCCATAGAGACTTCCTGTCAACAATGAGATCACCAACTTGTGGAGCTCCAGAGAAGTGCAGCCCCGAGAACTGTCTGGTAGTGTGACCCCGGCCTTGTGCTGGGTGTGTATGGACTGTATGTCCTCATAGAGGGGTCACCTCCACTCCCACCAAGGGGGACAGAAATACACTATATTGCCCCAAGTATTGGTCCGCCAGCCTTCCCACGCACATGACCTTTAATGACCCCCCAGTCTTAGTCGTTGAGTTCAATATTGAGTTGGCCCCGCCCTTTGCAGCTATACAGCTTCAACTCTTCTGGGAAGGGCCGTCCACAAGGTTTAAGAGGGTGTCTATGTGAAGGTTGGACCATTCTTCCAGAAGCACATTTGTCAGGTCAGGCACTGATGTCGGGGAGGAAGCCTGGCTCGCAATCGCCGCTCTAATTCATCCCAAAGGTGTTCTATGGATTGAGGTCAGGACTCTGTGCAGGCCAGTCAAGTTCCTCCACCCCAAACTGGCTCCTCCATGTCTTTATGGACCTTGCTTTGTGCACTGGTACGCAGTCATGTTGTAACAGGAAGGGGCCATCCCCAAACTCTTTCCACTAAGTTGGGAGCATGAAATTGTCCAAAATGTTGCCTTAAGAGTTCCCTTCACTGGAACTAGGGGGCCAAGTCCAACCCCTGAAAAACAACCTCACACCATAATCCCCCTCCACCAAACTTTACACTTGACACAATGCAGTCAAGCAAGTACTGTTCTCCTGGCCACCGCCAAACCCAGACATGTCCACGGGATTGCCAGACAGAGAAGCGTGATTGGTCCCTCCAGAGAACATGTCTCCTCTGCCCTAGAGTCCAGTGGCGGCGCGCTTTACACCACGGCATCCGACACTTTGCATTGCACATGGTGATGGAAGGCTTGGATGCAGCTGCTTGGCCATGGAAACCCATTTCATGAAGCTCTCTACGCACTGTTGTTTGGCTCATCTGAAGGCCACACCAGGTTTGGAGGTCTTTAGCTATTGACTCTGCAGACAGTTGGTGACTCATCTGGTGGTCATGAATGGACCCATAAATCAGGGAGAAATTGCCCTCAGTGGTTGGTATTATTTTCATATGGATTCAAATCTGGTAAGGGTCTTTGGAGAGGTAAGGTTTTTCAGTAGAGGTACAATAAAATGACAGAGTTGAAGGTACCGAAAGAGTCCTCCAATGATAGGGTTTCCTTAAGGTCTTGAGACCATTGGGCACAGTTAGAAGGCAGTTCCTACATCTGGTGGTCATGAATGGACCCATAAATCAGGGAGAGATTGCCCTCAGTGGTTGCGTACGATTTGCATATGGATTCAAATCTGGTAAGGGTCTTTGGAGAGGTAAGGTTCTTCAGTAGAGGTACAATAAAATGACAAAGCTGAAGGTACCGAAAGAGTTCAGTAGTAGGAAGAGGGTAGTTTTCCCGGAATTGGGCAAATGTTCGCAACCCTTTCACTGTTAGCATTGTGAGAATTGTCTCGAAGCCCTGGGAAATCTACCAAAGAAAAAGAAGGTTTGTCTGTCATTTCTGGTGGAAAGAGGGGGCAGTCAAAGAATTGAAGAAGCGGTAGATGGG